AAACGATATTCGGATGTGATAAGTGTAAATGACTTTAAGTGAGACAAACTGGCAGACAGTACAGAAAACTGGTCAACAATGCACTCCTTTCTGCTGATAAAAGAACTCTCAATTAGAGCCTAAGTCTCACTAATGGTATGTGTCAGTGGTGTTCACATAGAGATGAATATCCACTTTATTTCGAAGTTTGACTGTTCTAGTCCATGAATTCCCCTGCAACAATGACAACTAATGCAATGAGTTGATTGAACTGATATCCTTTTTGGCTCAAGTTTTTGCCTCTGCCTTCCATAATTCTGCTACATGAACACCAAGCTGCTAGAATCAATCCTTCTAAAATAACCTCAGCCTTTATATATTCTGGTTTTGTCAGTCCTCTCCAAATTTAGGTTTATCCATATCTCGATTTCCTAGCGTGCTTTGGCATTTTTATGCCCTCGGAATTCAGTTGACCTATCTGTCATCATACGGAGTGAATATTTTCGTACGCTTCGGATGTATCGCGTGGGCATTTCTCACTTGTTTCCAGTTTTTCTGCTAGTACGTGTTTCGAATCCTGTTGGGATCCTTTTTACAACACGAACTTATTTGCTGAAGATTCGGCGTCAGTAGTTTGACTGATTTGCGTTTCTTTCGACTGAAGCACATTCCAATGATCTATATCCAGCCACCCGAAGATGTTTTTAGAACTGTCTTGAGCTATTTTGAGACTTTCAGACGTTTTAAAGTCACTCTATTCTGAACAACAATGACATAATTCGAGACACACTGGTTCAGCTGATATACAATAGAATGTTAAAAATTGATTAATATTACTTTAAGGCAGTAGTCATTATTCGTATTAACTTTCACATGGTGGGACTTGTCAAGAAATTTGGGTACAATTGACTTTTTTAAGAAATTCCCATCTGTCATAGAATAATTACATTTCGATGTATGCACTTTGATATATTACCATTTACCGAGGACTTTGCTGCGTCAAACCGAAGTTTTCTCATTTTATTTGTCGGCTCTAATATAATAAAGACCATGTGGCGTACAATCCCACCCTAAGCATTCTCATACAGTCAGGCTCTACTACTTATAGGAGTTGTGATTTGACTGTCCTCTACTAACAAATGGTCACAAATTAGGACCACTCACTAGTTGTATCGTTTCCTATATTTTCAACTGACCTGTCTCTTTTGATGGAATGCAGCAGATTTCAGTAGGACTTTTGTTCAGCTAACCCTCACACTAGGATAAAGGATGAATCACTAATTCAACCATAACCTGGGTGCTGTATGCCAAAGTAGTGCTGAGTGATTTCCATTCCTGTTCTTCTCCACATGAGGCGGTCGGTAAATGCCGTCCAAGAGATGTTCTATGTGGAAGACAGTGAACTGCCATCATATTGATATTAAGAGTGCACTAAGTGGTACGTATGCCAACTGGTTGCTGACGTATATGTCGACCCCAACATCTTCCTCATGTTTCCCATCCCGTCTAACCAGGCAATAGCTTGGTCCTCAGGACTTTCAAAGCCAATTACTGGACACTCCTAGTGATAAGTTTCATAACCATTTCCAATGACGCTGACACATTCACTTCTAGTGATATCCCATATCCATTGAACCCTATTGTTTTCACATGTTATATTTCTTCCGCTCTAAAATTTCTGCCTATTGTTATTCGTTCGGATGCTTTTTCTTGTCTTTTGTCCTCCCTTGTGTATTTCATGGCGTGCCGTACCTGGAACTGCTGCAATTCTGTGCAGAGATCCATGATGTAACCAGTCAGTGAATCATACAGACTTCACTGTCGGTGGTAATAGGTTTCATTTCTGCTTCTGGTAGAGGGTGGGTTTGAAATTTCCTTAGTCGAATCACTTCACCTCTCAGAATTCACGTTGACTTTTAGGCGAATTCAGGTCATCTTCAAAATTTCACACTGTTGTGAAGTGGTTCATGAGGAGAAAACTACCAAGGTGATTTCCGAAGTAACTATTTCCAGCTGAACTATCCTGTTGCCTCCGGTTATACGGAAGCCCTTCAGTAACCGTATCTGTCGTTATATTCCAGGTTTCATGGCTGCAATGTAAATAAGACATGGGTATTCTTCTTTACCTCAGTTTGTTATGCTCCGTAGTTTGACGCTGACTCTCAGTTCACCGAGTGTTGGCCCAACCCAACAGTGATGAACACAGAGCTCCTAGATCGCAAGTATATGTTCACATATTTACTGTGATGATATGTAAACATATGTTTAAGTTCTTAATATGTATGAACTCATTTGCAGGAGTCCATATTGCTTTCAAATTAGAAAATGGACATCCGATAAAAATACATTGGGGCACATGATATAAGAACATGTAGTAATAAAACTACGAAGCATATTACGAAAATGAGGTAATTAAAAGCCTCTTTGTTAGTCACATATGAATAAAGATCATCAGGGATCTTACGTGGGATTTGTAATAAGGCATTTAGGCCAACCAACTAACTCAGGTAAACTTCCACCTTAGGAAACCTGAGTGAGTGAGTATATTCCAAAAATGTTGATGTGTCACAGGAGTTCGGCAGTCTGCAGGCAGGCAGCTGGAAAATTGGGAATTTCGATGATTGTGAGAAAGAAAACATGGCGAAATGAAATACACGTATACTCAAATTCAAGTAACCCGTAAATATTCAAACTACACCACAGGACAATTAGTTAGGTACATACAAACAAATGAAAATACAAAATTTATTTAGAGATAGATGAAGTATGTCTGGGATGCGGTCTAGAGATTGTACACAAACAACCAAATGTAACGTATTAGTGCTCCAAAACTTGTATGTGCTTGACAGGATGGTTTTCCATAATTAATAAACTAGGTTTTGAAACTCACCGTCTAGTACTGAATGGTGACGAAGGCGTAGGGGTTAGATGTTGAAGGATATAATGAAAACTATTGTCCATGTCCCTAATAAAAGTTTAGTGAGACAACATTACTTCAGATTAACCCAAGTGTGGTTCTTGATGCGATAATAAAACCAATATTCATACATTACCAAGAGTTCTTAAAGCTCCAATTAAGTGCTTGTTCCACCACTTGATAAATATGCAGCACGTACTGAAGGAGTATAATCGTGATATACTATTTCCGAATACACTAGCTAGTAGCGTCAGTAGGTATAATTTGGAATACCACCGCATACTGGAGATGATCATAGCAGATAATAACATATTTCAGGGAGATAAATATGAAGTGGGAAACGAAAAAATATACACTTTCAACGTGATAGCGTTTTGAAATACGTGGTTAGTTATCTTACACAAGCACGTCTATCACTTATCGTCATTTTTTCAGGTGGTTATAATACTGGTTTTAAAACCAAAGTTCCTGGTCTTCCTTTCGTTCATTCTCTCCACCCATACTCTCCCAACTCACTTATCACAACTATCTTTAGAATGCTCGTCAGTCTGACCAGAGGATCGAACGGCCATCTCGCAGGCACTTGGTATACACCGACTATAAATGAACTGCTCTGAGCTTCTTTACGCTGACGACGTAAAGATTTGGAGAGCAATAAGCTCATCCTTAGACTCCGACAGGTTGCAGGCTGACCTGCAAACTCTGGGAGACCGGGCTCTGGCCAACGGAATGCCTTTCAACCTAAAGAAGTGCAAAGTAGTGCAACTTCATTCCGGCAGGCCACAGAGTGCAAATTACACCCTTGGTGGCCAGAACTTGATTTGTGTGCCATCAGAACGCGATCTAGGTCTTATTTCAACAGAAAAGCTAGACACCAGTGTAAATTACACGAGGGACGTCGCCAAAGCTTACGCAACTTTACACTTTGTGCATAGGCAGCTGGGAGCTCTTACGCCTGAACTATTCTCAAGGTTGTATAAGACATATGTGAGGCCACTCCTTGAGGTGCATAATATCATTGCTCCTCCGCTACTCAAGAAGGATGCCAACATTCTAGAAAGTGTCCAGAGACGAGCGACAAAATGGGTGATTGGCCTCCGCAACAAATCATACGAGGAAAGACTGAAGAAATTAAGTCTTTTCACACTTAGTTACCGTAGTCACAGGGGAGACCTCAACACCGCCTATAAGATATTAAATGACCAGGCCGACCCTAATAAAAGCATCCTGCCATTAAGTGATTATAGGCTTCCACGAGGTAACCCGCTAAGGATAGCACACCAGAGACCAAAGACTCGAGTGCGTTCACATTTCTTCTCGCTTCGAGTTTGCCGTCTCTGGAAGGCTTTGCCGGCGGCCATGACTACAGCGCCATGTGTGGAGACTTTTAAGCGTAAGCTGGACAATCATGCAGAAATGCATGGTTTGTGTCTCAATGGCTTATCCTCTTAAAATTTGAAACCACATTGTCAATGGATAAGCATACAAGCTAAATCCCCACGACCCGTTCTGTCTTCTCCCACTGTACCGACTACTCTATCTTTTCTTTCTTTCTTTATTATTTCACCTTTATTATTTCACTTATCTCAACCTATATTATTTACACTACAACCTACTATTATTATTCTACTTTTATGACTACACCGAATGACCAACGGGTGTTAGGTCAAACTCCATGCATGGCAGCAGCTGAGTCCTAACATACTGCACACTACAAACCACAATCTTGACCAATCCTCGCACCACTCCTCTTGGAGTCTACCAGAGCTAAAGCAGTCGAGTGGTGGGACTTACTACGCATAAGTCCACCGAAGATCTGGGACCTCTACCTTACAATTAAGAAGTGAGCTCAAAGAAATCACTGGTTTATAGTAGCTCGTAATGTTGGTGCTCTTGTTGAGCTCAGCAGAGCCACAGAATTTGTAAGAGGGAATAATAACATATGCAGAAAAATCAAGATAAATTATATGAAATCAAGAAGCGGTAGCCAAGAGTCCAAATATTAATTAGTGTCACAAAAACTATTGGACATTCAAACTTTTTTAAGTATGCTAATAGTATAAATTGCGCGATAACACTGTGGAGCAAATTAGAATTGTAAGTCATGGGCTTTTGTAAGTAATTCATTTATATAACTCATTTTGATCATTTTTCATGCATTATTTTGTTAGTATTGGATTTAATTAACTCACAAGTTTTTTAATGCTACACAGTATCTTTCAGATACTTTATAACACTGCCGTTAGTTGTCTGACTTGATAAATGTGTTGTACTATGTAGCGCACTCCGAAAATTACATTAATGAATAATTAAACGTTGGCTGACAATGACTTAATTATGTATCAAGGGTTTTAAAATCACACATCGAATTTAATAAACACACTGCTCTTATTCTCAAACCATAATTTTTCCCGTATAATGGTGTTTTGATAGTGACTATGGAGTTGGTCAGAAGAATCTTCCCTTAACGTGTGTATTAGCAGCTGTATCATCATGTAAACTAGACGTAATGATAAGTTTTTACATGCGCAGATACATGAGATAGGTTCTGAATTGTCTTCTGTGAAAAGCTTATCAGTAAGTGAAAATCATAAAGTTTCTCAGACTAAAAAAGCTCCTCAGAAGCATATTTCAGGTTACTGTAGTTTTATTGGCTCATAAAAGTACACTTTCCTCATCAAAAAGTCATTCATCGTGAGTTGGTAATCTTTTACCATGGAAGTGAATTAAGTGACACTTTAAATATGTGTAAAACTTGGGCACTGTGGTAGTAAGTAATTCCATATTAGTTTGTTTATTTGATGTGCCACACAGTGAAACAATACTGTTTACTGTATGATGTTTTGAACGAAATTTATTGTTCATAATCATACCTGTTATAATCACACGGCTTGTTAAAGGATCCTGTGGAGCCTATAAAACAAAACAATTCAGTTTATCTAATACCCTGCCGGAATGATTGTCAGGTGAAATGCATACGGTCACAGTAGTAGAACAGGAGCATTCAGACTATGCGAGCATAAAAACCTAGTAGCAAAATCTAGATTAGTTGACCCGAATAAGATAAGAAATCTAAAGAATAGTTCAGCTATAGCACTCACTACGCGCAATTGCACACAACCATCAATACGATGGGATAAGATGACAGTTTTAAAATCTAGTGTAACAGGGTGAATGGAGGGAGAGATTGATGACAGAAGCTTTGTTTATCGAATCAACTGAGAGAGAATACATGTAATAGGAATGATTCAACACCTGTCCACCCAGATTTCCGGAAACCTCTGATACCCCAATGACGACAAATAGGAGAGGACATAGAAAACTATGAAACTCAAGTTTCGAATTCGTGTGATTATAATTGATATGAACTGTGTCATCTGAGAAATAATACTGTCTCACTCACTGTGTGATACATCTAATAAACAAACTAATATGGAATTAAGTGACACTTTATTTAGACGATTAACCTTTGCATACCAACCTTTACCAGACAGTAAGCATATAACCATGCACCATATTCTCATGTACGCTATCCTTTTAATGATACATTTGTGTATAATATTCATACATGTCATATGCATTTTGTTACCAGAAACACTACAGTGTCAGGTGTAGATATCTGGTTGTGTAAAATTGTCTCAAACTTCATTCCCCAGAAAGCACACACATATTTTGATATTGTAAATGCTGTAAACTCTTTTAAGGACCGTGTCTCTTCATTGTCCTATATCTTCATGTCAAATAGTTTACTTTCATAAAAGGTTATTGTCTAAGATAACTTTCCTAAATTTTGACCCTCAAATAACTACTTGAAAAACATATACCACTACCTGAAAGACAGTGAACAGAAGTTAGCCAATGTCCCTCATGAAGTCCAGTACCCTTGTAATTACTGAGATTTTTATAGATAAGAATTAACGAGTACTGTGGCAAGACACTATACACAACGATGTCAGTCAACTTCGAATCTTATGGTTAGTAATTTTTTACTCTACAGTCAAGACAAAATACTTCTGAATGCAAGCAGAAGGAGAAGCGGTTCTCAATTCTTTGTTGAACGTTGACTGCCCACGTAGTCAACGTATGCTGGTGATTTAAGAGCTTTTGCTGGATTGTTTGACTGCTCTGAAGTAAATACATTCAAATTTTACTTTAGTATTAATCCGGTATATTCAAATGTCTTAGTAATATGTTTAATACAGCCAGCTGTCCTCAAAATGTGTATATTTGATTAAAACATTACGATTTTCAAAATATTATTTAGCAATAACTTGAGCTCAACCTTTTCTATTAGGAATTAAAGTCATGAAAATTTTTCATTTTGACTTATAGTACACTGATTAAGTCAGTTATACTGGATGTGGTCCAAAGCATCCAAACTTATTGAACTTTAAAGAAAGCCAAACGCTTTCACTTAGTGATAACATATATCAGTGGAGTTAAATTAAATGTTGATATAATAGGTGAAATAAATAGCGCCAATACTTTTAGTTTCCCATCAACTATGTATAGTAAAATGGTATGGCCAGGTTTCACAAGGTTAAGTTCCCTGAATTTGATCACTGCCAAACTGTCAATGGACAACATCAGTAACACATAAAAACATACAAGATTACATATGTGTATGAGGTTTTGTGGAGTAAAACGAAAATCGTGATTCTTCACTTATATTCAGTCATATTTTGTTTTTGTTGAGTGTATATCGCACTATAATTGTGGTTGTACTGATTTATCTGTTTGTATATTGTTTTGAATTATGCCTGTTAAAGGGAATGCATTTAAGCATAAAATTTTAATTCGGTCTATTTTTCTGTATAAGGTCCTTAGTTTATCAGTTATCCGCCATGGTTTAAAGAGAATATCTAATTGACACATGTGGCATTGATACATTTTGACATATTAAACACATTCATTTAAGAATGATTGAATCCATTCGCTCACACTAATAAAACTGTAGAATTACAAATGACTTAAAAAAGACATACAGTGGCTGATATTATTTTAGAGGGATTCATTCTAGCAGCTTGGTGTTCATGTAGCAGAATTATAGAAGGCAGAGGCGAAAACTAGAGCCACAAAGGATATCAAATCAATCACCTGACTGCATAAGTTGTCATTGTTGCAAGAGAATTCATGGACTAGGACAGTCAAACTTCGAAATAAAGTGGATATTCATCTCTCTGTGAACACTACTGACACATACCATTAGTGAGACTTAGGCTCTAATTGAGAGTTCTTTTATCAGCAGAAAGGAGTACATTGTGGACTGGCTTTCTGTATTGTCTGACAGTGTGTCTGACTTAAATTCATTTACACATATCACATCCGAATATCGATTTATATTCATCATGATCCTTCAGCAAGGATGTTTGGGCAGTCTGCTCAACCACTGCATAACCTTTTTCAGAAAGCCTGATATCAGTCTCAAATTAACCCTCAGTTTTCAATATGCAGACTTCAAATCACATTGATAATTCCTAGCGTCTGTGGATTCGAATAAAATACCTGTGAGAAATATTATTTCTGAATGTCAGTTGACTGATATCTCTAGTACTTGCTGTTCTGTTGTCCACTTCGTTGGAGTTTCAATTCTCTTGCGACGTCTGTACAGTGAATTGGTTAGATGGCAGTAATTGTTAAGAACCGACACTAGGAAGGGCACTACTGGGAATGGGTTGGCACTTCTCTGGAGAAACACCACAAATATAAACTTGAATAATGTAGACAGTCACTTACTCTGTTGTCAATAATTCACCGATTCAGTCGATTCAACTCGAGATCCAAGGTGCAGTCTTAAAGTGGTCATCCTTTTCTGAGTGTGTGTGTGTGTGTCAGCGTGTTGTTGATTTATGCATCTGTACATTATTAGACAGGTGTATTTGTGGTGAATTCGAGTTAGCAAGCGGCTATTCACTATCAGGTTTCGATAGTGGAAAATTGTTTGGAATTCTCTATTCATATTTACATGATTTTATTGATGATCGGGATACTTTGACAGAACCTATTCATCAGATTTGTTTCACTATACAATCGGAGATGAATGCATGAAAATAATTTAGTGGAATTAGGCCAATGTTTACGTGTACTGTACTGTACTGTACTTGTGTTAGTGTAATTATTATTGGCATTAACAATAGTAGCTGTAGTATTAGAGAGAATCAACCGTTTTTTGCTGACTTAGAATTCTGGAAGAATGAAATTTGGATGTGTGATTGTCAACATCATGTATAACAGCATTCTTCATGTATTCAGTCACGTGGACATATGACCTTATATTAGTGCCAGTTAATTGTGTGTTTGTGTGTGCATGTCTGTTAGACCAATGTTCCTGAATATGTATGTGCCTATGTATGAACATAGAGTTAAGCAGGCCTAGTTGATGGTTTTACGATGAAAACTAATGGAATATATGCTTAGATTTCAAGTGTATATGTGGACTTATTTATGCGTTGATGGCTGTTAAATTATGGTTGATTACACACGAAGAATCTTTCGTGAATATTTGCCCTTAAGAGTGAGTTGGAATTTGTGTAGGTTCCTCGATAGAAACTCCCTGTAGGTAAACCATTTTTAGGTTCACTCACTCTGTGGGCGTTTGTCCTGGTGAGGTGTGCATGAATGACTACAAGAGAAACAACTCATTCAGGCGGTATTTCAGATTAACAAATGCATCTCTGATACAAACCTTCAATCTGTTTGACATTCATTGAATTTTCCATAATCGATGACACACTACAGTCAGTAATCTCTCAAGCTGAATTTAGGTGTATCTGACCCATCGTAGATGCGGTTCAACAGTCCTGCCTAGTGTGTTTGACAAAGGGACTCCGCAAGATGACAGTCCTGATCTTGTGTATTCTCAGTAAATCGTATAGTGTAGTGAACATTCCAAGTGAGATTAAACTACTGTGGAGTTAACTTTCGATGTGGACATCATGAACCAGTCTGTAGGAGGCTGTGTGTAGGGTGTGCATGTGTTTGTTATTGAGAGATGCTGGTTTACGTTTCCGAGTCATTATGATTCTGGTAAACCTGACATATTCAGCGTATCCGTATGGGCTAACAAGCACGGAACCCACATCATCGTTCACCTGCTTTCCACTAGTTTCTCATACAAATCACCAGTCTATATTTCAAGATGCTGCACAGCACTCCTCTGTCTCTCATTTCACAAATCACACTGCACACTCAATCTGGAGATTTGCATTGAAATCTGCAGTGGTCAGAAAGTGTTCACTTATCTGTGTTGTGTGTTACTTCACAAGGAGTGAGATTCTCCTAAACGCCTATTCGGCTAACTTCATCATTGCAAATTACGGAATAGATTCATGCGGATAGCAGCAAAATCATTTGTTGTAGATGTAAATAATATTTCTGTAAACTTCAGTAATGATAATATTAACGTTGATAACTGCGATAAATTTCTACAAAGTTTTCTTAACTGTGTATCGTCCACCTTAATTTTTCACTTCATTTTAATTAATGAATTGAGTTTAGTGTTTTAAGTGTATTGTACTGGGTCACGATAATTAATGAGTCGCATAACTTTGTAGGCGATTAGTTAACTTAAAACTAATTATGAAACCGATAAGTGCGTAGAGCACGGCTTTGATCGTTATCTCTTCACTGTACGCCTAGTCCTCTGCATACTTACCCACCCACGCACACCCACACACACACATACACACAGAGAGTCGCGTAATACCTACCATACGTGGATGCATTCACAGATATCGGTATGTGAATTCTTTCACCAGTATTAATGATGAAAACGGCTTTCTTCTTCTACTTCCGATTACTATTTGGCCTCACTGTCTAGTGTAAATGAGGTCACACAGATGAAAATTTAAAAAAAATTTATCTAAATCTGATTTCTATTGTCAATCCTCTGGCCGCATTAAGAGAGAAATGAAGCCAGTTTATTGTTTATTTTGATCAACAAAATCCTATGAATAATTAGAGTAGACTGAACGCTGATTCTTTAGTGATTAGAAATATGTTATGAGTACTAGTAGTAGTTTGAATTGTAAATGTTGTCTTATGTTAATTAAGAGCTAATTAATTTTGTTTATTTTCTCATCACTTCACCTCTGATGTTGTGTGCTTTTTTGAAGCAAAATAACACATTATATTTAGGGTTTATCACATCCTGCAATGAATTAATCTATTATTATTATCATTATTTATTATTATATGGATAATCTGAGACAGTTGACGTCACTAGAATCAAAGAAAATTCAGGAAGACATTCTCTGGAATGTTGCTTGACCTTGGTCACTGTTTAATAAAACTTTACTGATCATAATAATATACTAATATAAATTACAAGTGTATGTATATAAGTAATTTTTTATGATTCTCAACATTTTCATTGATTTCTTTTAAACTCTTACACATGTAAAAACTTCCGTCGATTTTAAACATTTCGATAATTTTTGCTATTTATTAAAGGAATTGTATGCATTACTAAGACTGATCCACCTAGGTGTCTTTGTTACTGGTATTTCTACACATGTTGAAATGAGGCTTCTTTGCTAAACTGAGAGGCAATCTCTAGTCTGTTTGCTAGTTTCTGGTACTCAAATCAGATCAGTCATCCTTTTGTTATTATTGAAAGCGTCAGATTGAGATTTGTTGATTGAGGATAGAAGGCTTGTATCCTATGTTAATCCGTATCTAGTATATTTGTGTCTTCAAACCCTTCTTTTATATGAGTCAGTTGCTGACACCAACTCTTCTGGGAATTGGTTCCAAGCTGGTGGAAGGGAGTCATTAGTGAAAATTTTAGTGAGATCTCCTCTCTGCCTACGGTATGACAAGGAGGTCTTTATTCGTATGATAAATTAGTCATGCCAAGAATCATACGTGTTGCCGTCGGAAGAACCCTTTCTAGAATATATGAGTCCCCTTTAAGACAAAGACTGGCTGTCTGGATACAGTTTTCCAGTCTAGATTTCACAAAAAGGTGTGTCTAAATAGGTAAACCTATATCTGGTGATTCTAGTAAAGGTACTGCAGATTACCCATAAGGATTTGAAACTATGTGCAGCTACCGCGCGACAATGTGCTATAGTTTTGAAATAGTGACTTACTATGACACTTAAATCCAAATGATTCTGAACTGATGGGAGTGTTATTCCCCCCCCCCCCAGTTTGTAGGAGCTAACGCTTGTATGTCCAATGCGCATTCTGTCAAGTTGATTCGAAGCATCCATTCTCTGGATTATAAAATATTATGATGCCTCTGATGCAAGGAACTTATGCTTCAGTGATGGTGTCTTTTTAGAGAAATTTTTTTAAAAAAATGTCAAGTAAATAGCTAAATAATTTAATATGCTTTTCAATATTCAGTCTTGTGTCATTTCATAGTGTCTCCTCAGACTAAGTTTTTATCCTGAGATACTTAACAATATTCTGCATATGCTAGAAGTCTGTTTGGTACCATTTTTTTCCTTTTCAGCTGATTTACGCATAGACTCGCATCTATTTCATTTTGAATTGATTAATGGGGTTAATATTTTTGAAATGGCTACGCGCACATAATTTGTTTTTCTCAGTGGATACACTGGCTGGTGTTTATCCGCATATTTGAGTACGCTAATAAAGGAACAAAGATCAAGTGTATAGCTTTAGCAGCTTTCTTTTTTTTCTTTTTCTTGATTTATACGACGAATCTGCGTGCTTTGTAACAAGATAACAGAGCTGTAATTAAACATAACGTACATAACATGGCTATGTGTGGTTACTGATTTTCTAGACAAACTTTGATAATAATTAACGATAATTAGATCAGGAACTGGTAATAGCACGGGGTTTGGAAATCATCATCGGCAGTACGCATCCACCACAGTGGGGGGGTTCGAACCCAGGACCTTCTGGTTACAAGGCAAGCTAGCTCGTATACCATTCAGCCACTGGGAGCCGATTCACTGGCCAGCCAGTCCATGAATTCAATGATTCTCTAACTGTGATATCAATCTATGATCAACTCGTAAAAAAACAAATCTAATCCTTACAAACCAACTATTGAAAATAGCACGGGTGGTTTTTTCCCTTTTTCAGCATAGTAGGAAAATCATTTTTGGTTGAAACCATTTCACCTTCTCATATCACAAATGAAGAATTTCATGTATTAAAACGGTAAAACAGAATGACTGACTCATTCCCTTGTATTTTTTTCATCTATATTGAGTGAATTCCGTATATTTATCTCACTTTATTTAGAAATATATATATTTTCTTTTAAATTCAATTTTAGGTCAGAGCATAGATAATTGTTTCCCAGCGAAAGTTCGGCGTTGGGTCGGCATTGTCATTGCACTTTTAGATGTATTCCTTTTCGGTGGTTACCATTATGGTTTCAATTCCCTTGTTGAAGTTTACAAGTCAGTTGGCTTGTATGCATACAACTGCACAGACACAGGATGTTTATATCATGAAAATATGTTCGGTGTTGTCTTTATTGTCTGGATGGTATCACAAATGTGTCTTATTGTATTTGCCGGCATACTTATGGATATTGTGGGATTAAGAATAACGAAATTAGTGGCAGCAGTAATGTATTCTGCCGGTACACTGATGTTTGCATTCACTACTGCTTCGACTGTGCCTCTGTTCTATGCTGCTGGGATATTGGTCGCTTTAGCGAGTATAATGAGTTTAATATGCAATCATCAAGTCAGTTCTATGTTTCCACAAGTACGTGGTTTATGCATATCTTTGATGTCTGGAGCATTTGATTCAAGTACCTTGATAGCCTTTATAATATCACTGACATATAAAACATTCCCATTCAAATGGTCATTTATAATATTGGCTATCTGCTCACTAGCTGTTGGAACTTTCGTAGCACTATTCATCCTTACAAGATATACGAATGATATGGGAAATTATGCTGCCTCGCATACAAAAGATGAAGTCGTCTTATCCGAGGTAAGTGATCATAGTTTGGTTGTGGTTTTTTTGATAAAGCGTTTCAGTGTACTCAAGTATGCAATTTTGGGTGTATATGTTTAAAATCAATTACACATGATACATAGATAGATAGGACAGTGGTGAGATGTAGAAATTTGCAATCTGAGGATGAGAATGACTGAAAATGTAAAAGTTACATCACAAAGCATAAAAACGATCCGATCACTTCAGGTCTATAGAACTTTTGCTGTTTCTAGCCTTCATTTATTTACGCTGTTTTGTTTCAAGGCTAACTTCACTTAAATTCATATCTATGCGCAGCTCTGTCTGTTTGTTTAGCCACCTCATTTGTACATTGTACGATCACTTAGCTAAGCAAAATAGACGATTAATGTTATATATTCTATGCAGGGAAGTAGTGCTATACGAAAGCGCAGACTCCATAATAAAGTCAAAGGAACACTTAGTCGTCTAATGAACTAACTTCAACAAAATACCAGAATCCACCCGACAGTTGTATTGGGAAAAGTTGTGCAAAAGTTCTCTGCTTTCGTCAAACACACGTACCATTTATATATTTATATATATAATTGATTTTATTTATCATTTTTCCCTCTTACAGGATGCTTCAGCTGGAGATCTGCCAAAAACAGATATCTACGGTGAAATATCTACAGTATTGGATGAACGTTTTCCATCACTGAAAAGTTGTGTCTTCTCAATGCCCTACTTATTAATCAACATTTGGTTTACGCTAGGTTTATTCCGTTTCTCATTTTATTTAACTCATTTTGTAAAGCATATTGTCGCTATGTTTATCTCTGATGCAACGCTTAAAGTACACTTGTTATCAGTATCCTCAGCATTCTTTTTGTCTGGATTTTTTGTCGCTCCAGTTACCGGTACTATTATTGATTATTTCCTTCGTAGAGCTCGAAATAAAATTGAACAGATGTTAATTCTTAAAAAAGATTTATACTATCCAAATAAAATTTATTATACTCTAGTATGTGGATTAGTTCCAGCACTTAGTCTGATGACTGCTTTTGCTGTCCTCTTAAGTCTAATGATGTTTATACCACACTATATAGCATTTTATGCTGCATTCATATTCTTAGTTATCGTTAGATCCCTGCTATTCAGTACATTTATTAGTTTCCTTCTTTCGGCTTTCCCAGTACGCTATTTCGGTACACTGAATGGAATATCTAGTACAGTGGCTGGACTTATCAGTTTAATACAGTATGCTTTCTTAGAAACATCCACTCTTACAGACAATATTGTCACTTTAATAATTGCATTAAGTACATTTGTTATACCAGTTGTATTTGTAGTCCTTGCTAAGAAGAATTAACTTATTCACTGTGCTAATTTTTTTATTTATTCTTACACAAAACAACAATCATATACTTCTTTTTCGTTTTTAACAAATATTAGATTTTGTATTTTCTTTTGGTTGAAAACAATTATGCAGAGAATTTGAACTTTGAAAAAAGAAAACATGATTTCCACTAGCTTTTTTATTGTATATCCAAAATAAATAGAAGTTTATTATCTTCAGTACATTTGTGTCATTTTAAAACTTAAATTATCTAAGACAGGTTTAATAAGTCTGAATTTGGAATGTCTTACATTCTAAAATTATTATAGATAGTTGCAGTATATTATAAACTAGAGGTATTAAGGCCTACAGTCAAATTATCCACTTTCATTTTGAAAGATAAGTCATCACTTTTAGTCTGTGTTACTGGCATTTTACTAACCGCTGAAGTTATATCCATTGAGCATTTAAATGAGAAACTAATTGTACCTAATTGGAATTCTGTCATAAAGTGAACCTGTCTAAATTCAGCCAAGCAAGTTAATCATTTTTTATATGAATTAAACAATATCCATCACGTAAATACATTCAACACTGTTCAGTCACAGGCTTCAATCAATGGAATGTTCCACTAGATTAGGATAAGGGGTCAAGGCTAATCATCATCACAATTAATGGAAGCGTGTATTACGAAGTCTGTAATTTATATGCTGAGGTATACAAAATACTTAGTCATGTAGGGAAATAAAATTTAAACCTTCAGTTTGTGAGGTAAGGACGATAGCGAAGTACTAGTAGAGATTGTTGTTAATTAGCTAATTAGAGGGTTGCAGTGAAATTAGAGTGCCGATAAATTGCAATTGATACTTTCTCTATTTGCCCGACTGTGATACTTCCTCTGATGGTTAACTTGTCTATGCTACCAATAGAAGCCATCTGTACCGTAAACTTGTATGGAAAAAAGCTCACACTTTTTGCTGACTTATTCGCTTACGCACACATCTAACTAAACCTTTAATTCGTAGTCTATCGATGTCATCATGAACTAATGCCGGTTTTTTTATAAATAACCGTATTAAATGTTACTGAATCAATCAATCGATGCAAATCTTGTTAACGTATTCAAGAAATAGTGACGGTGTGACATCTACAGGTGTTGACCTTGAGAGTATTGCATTCACGGATTACTAAGTAAGTAGGCCACCCTTTTCCCAAAAAGATACAAGAAATATGCAATCTATAACAATGTATATACTAAAAAATGAAGTGAAAATTATATTAATTGAAAAATAATTTGGTCTTAAAATGAGAATACATTCTAACACTTTAATAATGTTTGTAAAAAGATTAGTGGTAATTTTCACATTGGCGAATGGCTCATTACTACGTTGAACTCACTGTAGTGTTTACTGGTCATGTTTCCACAAGATCTGGATAAATTTCCTTCCTTTGATGGTAATATTGCAGTTTTTATTATCCATGGATGCAGTATTATAATATCGATGTAATATTCTGAGTATAAATATTAAGATTATATTCCTCTGATCATCCTTGAGTGTGTTTGAAAGTGTCTGCGACTGCATCTAGTGGGCGAATTGTTTTTACCTCCAGTAAACAATCATTTAGCATGAGCATACGGCACATATTAACATGGAAACCAAGACTGATGTCACTGGAAATGTCTATTACGGAGTGACATATTTCATTGAAGGTTCGAGTAACTTCTTACTCTATACTTTCATCGTTGATATATATGTACGTCGTAATTGCAATTAATTGTGGATGACAATATTCCCTGGATACAGAGCCATTCAATTAATTTCCAACGATTTACAGAACCTGTAAAAGTGTCATAGTGTAGAATAAGACTTACGCGTACGATACTTGTTCTGTTTGTGTGATGCAAAAATATTGTCACATCACCTACTGTGCCAATATACTTCAACGTCATTTCAAAAACTTTCAGCAATGTTAATAGGAGTGAATAATTCCACTTCAACACATTTCGCTGAAGCTACACCTATACCTCGAAGTGTATAGACAGGAACAATCCTTTGATATGATATTCGTCACATTAGAGAATATGATTGTTCCTGTGTGTGATATGCAGACATCTTGATGAATTCCTGTAAAGCGAACGGTTAAGACTAACGCCAAAAACTCCAATAATGAACTAGGGATATTTCTAAAATGTATAAATGATTGCCACAATATTTGACCTTGATGAACAACTTTTAAATCACGCGGTCTGCTATTGGCCTATCTAATTAGTCGATCCAATATCCAATATCGTTTTTACGAGCTAGTATAAACCAATTTGATTTCTTTGTGCTCGCCTCTTGATTGTGAGGTAGAGGTTCCTGATCTTTGGTAAACGTCTGTGTAGCTCGTCCCGCCACTCGACTGTCGTAGCTTAGGTTGACTCCAAACGGAGTAGTGCTGGGATTAATTATATGGGGTTTGTAGTATGAAGTGTGTTAAGACTGTTACTACTGTGAATGGAGTTGATCCTTTCACCAGTTAGTCTTTCGGTATCGTCGTCAATGGAAAAGAGATAATAATAATAGATATAATTAGTAAAGGTATTCAGACTAACAGACAGAGAAAAAATAAGAAAACGTAACAACAGTCAGTCAACCGGTATACATTTACATATATATACCAGTAATAATGATAATGATAATAATAATAATAAGTGTAGTTAAAGCTGTCAGGAGAGTAAGACTGAAGGGAATGTGAAGAAGTAAAACGACCAGTTTAATTGTCTACCTTTGAATGGTATATGCGATTTTAAGGGGATAGGCCATTTGGATGAAGTCCTTGTGTCGCTGCATGGTTCTTAGACTTTGTGTATAATACCTTATGTTTGGTTCCATATTTGTGCAAGAATAAAGGATTCTCGGGTCACCAATCTGTGTTCTGTTTTTTCGCGTTGGTTATTGCACATTGTTGCTGAAAGTCTTCCAAGGACAGCGTTAAGTCCAGTGTAGTTAGACCTGGACATTAACAGATATCATTGTACTGTGCTCAGTCAACCGCAGATTTAAGGCCTTCTTTCAAACTGTCTTAATCTTGCGAACGTTTTATTTTCCTCAGAATCTTTTCATATCAGCTAGAGAAGGGCCAAGAAGTTAGAACGTTGTGAGAGATCACTGACAAGGATAAAAACATGAATGGCTCCGGGATACAGTGACAGTATGGTGGGAGACGATCGTTTATTCACAGAATTTCATTCTGTCTAAATAGTCCTTTATCTGTGAGGGCAGATAGCCACCAATACACTCCCCGGCTATTTTGCGAAGTAAAACATGGTACCAAACGTCGTCGAACGCTTTCGAAAAATTGAGCACGATTACATGGACTGGAAAATTTACATCCCGTCATGATGACAAGTCATTCTATGCTGTTAATATATTTGTTCCACAGAATCTATCTCTAATAAATCCACACTGTGCTGTGTGAAGCGTGTTCTTCCTGTCGAGGTAATTACCCATACAGTCATCAGTCAGACTTCCAAGTATTTTCAGCGCTACTAGAAGTAGCGATACTGGCATGTAGTTGATTTTGTTTCGCTGATCCTCAGCCATTAATGTTGGAAAAATGAAGTCTTAAATCGCTAAACTGGTGGCGTTGAAACAAGTCACATAAGAGCCTGCATGGAAATTTCAACTGCAGTTTTAGGAGCAATTATAGGATGTCGTCAGAACCTGTGGCCCCCCTTAGGATGCCTACGTAGTGTCACTACAATTACTAGAGGACTGATGTGGCATGTACTCATTACGTGCCGGTTTGACGAATCAGCAGTGTGACCCTTTGGGCTTGTAGTGATAACTACTGTCCTGATAAGTTTTTCATCGTAGGCCATTTCTAAACTGCTGAGATCTTGACCTTAGATTCTTGCCCAATGGCTGATAAGTTTCCTTACTGGCGCGAGACAGTAGAAACTTTCGAGGCAACTTTTGCGTGAAACGAACTCCTCTCACTCCCGTGACTTGTGCTGCACCAGTTTTTCATTTACAAGTGGACCTCGTGTTTAATATAACTCCTGAAGAAATTCCAAGTGGGCCTGGCTTGTAAAGTATACCATATAAATCTCCTTAAGCATTAGTTATATTCCTCAGACTTTAGTGTGACCAGAGGGATTGTATTTGAGGTCCCTGTGCGGATGATCCTTCCTGTTGTTCCCAATGGTTCCTCACTCCACTCTGCAACCATTTATGCGTCAGACAAAAGATTTCACAATTTCGTGTGGTCACCTCTGCTGAGGTTTGGACAGGGTATGGTAACACCCCTCTGTTGGTACTCGTAAGGAACCAGATCAGATACAATAACGGCGTGGTCGCTACTACCATGTGCGGTCTTGATGCGAATCCTTCATTAGCGATTGGTAACTAGTTAGTATGCATATTCCAATTTTGGCGGTTTAACGGCTTCTGGATTACTTCAGCATTTCTGACGGCATGTAACAGATTTCAATCAAATTTTCATTGGACACACCGCAACTCCAAGTTAAGGCGTGGAGTATCGAAGATACCAGCCTCTGTGATTTGGTCATAGTCCTGGTTTCGTACCACTGAGATTGTGCTGAGCAGTAGCTGGTCACGCTCTATCTCACTTGAGAGTGGTCGACGGATGCCACCGAATAAATGTGTGGTTCAGCTGGCAGTGATATCATATCATACTGCATCCAGAAATTCAATGAGTAAGAATGGGTTCATTTCAAACTCCTGCTAATTGTGGAGTCATTGTCCATTGTCATGTTGGTTTATAATAATAATATAAATAGTATATTTTCATTTTGTACATGAGGGACGCCAGTTTACAGGCATCATCAATATGATAAATTACATATACGATTAGTAAACATAATTAATAATAGTAATTTAATAAAATACATTTTTTCCTACCTGTGTAGGACACACCAATTGTACAGCCATGGATAAGTATTATTTAAATTACATAAATTTGGTTCATGGTAAAATTATAAGGTTGCAGTCATTTTGTCTATGGGAACAATATGATAACTAGTCATTCAATGGAACACATCAAGAAATGTAGAAATATTGTCTTCGCATTGACAAAAAAAACCCAAGTATGTTTTGGATGGATTACAAATACTTGGGAAAAAATAAAGCTTGAAGTAATTCCTCCATATAACTTTGGTGTGTACGGCATCGAGTCTTATTCTTGATTTATATCCAAATTTGATAATAATTTAAAATAAGTAATACACTTGTATACTTTTGTCAGCATTTTCTTCGTAACATCACAAGTGAATAGTACTCAAGGTAGGCTGATAATAATGACAGTCTATATTTTCTTATAAACGGGTGTCTTCAAGAAATGCAAGCTATTTTTGCAGACAAGATCAGTTATGTTGTAAGTTACAATCGTGAAGTATTACAAATTAATACTTTTTTACTG